TGGACTTTCTTGTTGTTTTGTTGATGGTTTCTTGTGGTGTGCAGAAGCTTTTTATTTTGATGTAGTCCCATTTGTTCATTTTCTCTTTAGTTTCAAGTGCCCTCGGAGCCTTTTCAGTGAAGAAATTGCTTTGGCATATGTCTGAGATTTTGTTGCCTACAATTCACTTTTTTTTTTTTTTCATTTATAACACAGCCAGAGATCTATAGACAAATTTACTGTTATACTTTCACATGACATTTAGGTATGATGTAACCTGATGGGTTAAAGAGATTGTCAGAGAAAAAGTTCACAAAGCTTCTTAGAATTTTGAGAAACCTCACGATTCTGGGCAACAGTGTATGGTACCAGTAAGGGTGTGGGGTGGTAATGGTGGTGGGGTATGTGTGTGTGTGGTATTTCGCCATACTAAGTTCTCCACCAGCTTGGTGTCCTACAATTCAAATCAGTTCTTACACTATTTACATGGAGATAGCATCAGATTCTGTTGGTTAAGGGATGTTAAATAAAAACCTTTGTAGCCAAGAGCTGTTCTGAAAGAAAGGGCTTGTTGAGCCCTGTGCTAGTCGGAAAAAGGACCCAGTCCTGGGACATGTAGTCGATACCACCAGCAGCAGGGCAGGATGTAGAAGATGAATATTTGTCTGCAGTCTTGGAGCTGATGGAGCCTTTTTTTTTTTAATCCTCACCAGGTGAGTGAAGATATATATATTTTTAGAGAGAATGGAAGGGAGGGGACTAGAGAGAGAAACATCGATCTGAGAGACACATCAATTGTTAGCCTCCCGCTCTCAACCTGACCGGGGCAGGGATTGAACCTGCATCCGAGGTATTTGCCTTTGGGAATGGAACCTGAGACTCTTTGGACTGAGGGCCAGTGCTCTAACCACTTAGAAACTGGGCCTAATGGAGCTTTCTAAAAATCGTTTGGGGAGGGAAGACGCAAGTTGTTTTGAAAGAATTTATATTGGCTGTAGAAAACAGAGTTGGGAAAAGGTGAAGTGGGGGAAGTTCTAGATTAGGTGCATAGTCCTTAAGGAAGAATTGTTTACTACTTCTGGGCTGGTTGTGGACAAAAGTCCAGAAAGTTTGTGCCTGGGTAAGCAGGATGCAGTGGTGTCTGGAAATCTATTATTTTTAGGTAGCTGCTAGGAAGGTGATTCAAAGTTTCAATATGCATTCAGGAATGTGAATAGTCTTTGGTTCGTCTCCAATTATAGCTGTTAACTGAATAACTCCAGTTGTCTCTTTCTCCCCCTCTCTGGCCACCTGTAATTTAATTTAGGTACTTCAGAATTTTTCTCTAGTCAGAGCTCAGTTTCCCAAGACTGCCCTCCACTTCGGACCCAGTCCCAATCCAGGTTGTTTACTGTGCTTCTGACTGGCTACAAGTCAGAGGTTCCCACAATTCCCTCCTCGTGTTTGATTAATTTGCTACAGTGGCTTACAGCAGAGAAACATTTACTTACTAGATCACCAGTTTATTGTAAGAGAATATAACTGAGTAATAGTCACATGGAGTTGTTGCATAGGACAAGGTGTAAGAAAAGGGCAAGGAGCTTCCGTGCCCTCTCTGAGCTCCTCTCTCCCTGAATCTCCACATGTTAACCAAACCAGACTCTTTGGAACCCAGTCCTTTTGGGTTTTTATGAAGACTGAATTGCATAGGCGCAATTGATTAAATCATTGGTCATTAGCGATAGAAATTCCGTCTCTAGCCCCTCTCCCCTCCCTGAAGGTGGGGTGTGTGTGGGGGGTGAGGCTGAAAGTTACAACACTCTAATCAGGTGGCTGGTCCCACTGGCAACCAGCCCCCAATATTAGGTGCAGTCGAGAGTCACCTCATTAACACAAAAACGACCTCTCACTCAACTCATCGCTTGGAAAATTTCTAGGGTTTTAGGAGGTCAGTTTCAGAAACTGGAACCAAGACCAAATATATGCATATTTCTCCTTATAACTCACAATATCACACCCACTAGCATCAGCTGGATTTGGGCTGTATGGATTATATTGAATGTGAGTCTACTAAGGTAGAGAGTTAGAGATCGCCCTTCACTGTCAGCTTTTGTCATTACAACGTGACTGTCCAAAAGACAACCCAGAGGAAATCTCGGAAGAAGGAGACAGCCTGACCTGGCACGATTGTGCAGTCATTTCCCAACATATATTTCTAGAGCATATTACAGCAATGCTCATTTACCAGAAGGGGACAGAGGGAAATTTCTAGCATTTAAAAAAAAAAAATCTCACATCATCAGAATTCATTTCCCAAGGCAAACTAAAAACAAAAAAACCCCTTTAGTTGAATATTTAAATTTGAACAGTCAATCTGGATATTAGGCAATGTTTTCAAATGCAAGTTGTATCTGTGACTTGCTAAAATTTCTAGGCAGGCTGTGATTCATGGTTGCCTCACTTTTACTTTTGTTTATACACTGGACCGCAGTTTAGGAGGGCTGCAGGATAGCGTAGTGGTGAGAGTCTGCGTTCTGAGACTCTGGCTTTGAATGTCCTGTCTTTTTCTGTCTAACCTTTGGGAAGTTATTTATGTTCCTCTGGGTTTCAGTTTCCTCATCTATAAAATGGGGCTAATATTAGCACCCACTAATGAATAAGTATGAAGCACATAGTACAGTACCCGGCACATAGAAAGTTAAGGTCAGAGATACCTAGTAGTGACCATTAAATCAGACTTAAACTGGACTGCATAGTGACATGCTATATGGGTGAGAAATGTTAGCTGTTGTTTGAAAGGTTTAGACTATCATCATTTCACTCAGTGGTGATCAGACCCATGTAAATTATTTTACACAATTCAGAGAAAGTGGGAAGACCAAAATTGAAGTTCATACTTTCCTTGCATGTATTAAATTTGTCACTGCCCTGGTCACGGCTCAAAACCTGTAGTCACCTTGCTACTTCCCCCTTCTCAGCCCTCCCTGCTGTTAAAGAGAAAACCAAAGACCAGGCCGGTCACAGAGACTGAGCAAATATGCTGCACCAAGGCCCAGCAGAGCTGCAGAGTGGTAACTGAGAGTGATACTAATGCCTGATTTTTTATTGATTTTTTACAGAGAGGAAGGGAGAGGGATAGAGAGTTAGAAACATCGATGAGAGAGAAACATCGATTCAGCTGCCTCCTGCACACCCCCTAATGGGGATGTGCCCTTGACCAGAAGCAAACCTGGGACCCTTCAGTCTTCAGGCCGATGCTCTATCTATTGAGCCAAACTGGTTAGGGCTAATGCCTGAATTTTTATCATATCTCTTAATTAAGCTGAGTGTCTGATCAAAAGGGAATTGTTAAAAAGAGAAAGCGGCAGGCTCAAAAAGGCGCATGCTGCCAAATCTAGATTTTAATACTTGATCCAATTGTACTTTCAGCCTCTCCTGGAAACATAATCTTAATCAACTAGTCTGGAATTTTCTGGTTAACACCAAGGAGATAATCTACACTGTGGGCCCTCTCCACCTCCCATAGAAATAAGAGGCAATCTGCATGATGAAAACCCTTCCTGATCTCTTCCCCTAAAAAAGATGTCCTGGCCCACAAACTCAGTTGATTTTTTTTCTTCTGACATTGCCAATTACTAGGTAAATCCTCGCAGTTCTATGTGGTGATATTTTTCTATTCTCTTGCCACCACCCACATTCCCATTACCTCTTGCCTAGACAGCTGCAGCAGTCTCCTAAGAACCTTCTTCACTTCTAAACACTGCCTTCCCACCACCACCTCTCAGTCTCAGCACATGGAAATGTAAGCAACCTTAGGGACTATCCAGTCAGCTGATTGACAAACCTGCTACATCAGAATCACCACAGCAGCTTGATAAAAAGGGATAGTGCCCAGACCTGGAACCTGTAGGTCTGGGGACTAATTTAATCTGCCTCAACTGCTTCCCACCACACATTGCTCCTGGATTTAGATGTAGAGTTATCCTTCTTGGTAGATAAACCAGGGCCCCCCGAGCAGGAGTGCTTGTCTTGGTGTCAGGAAGTGAACAGGAGATCCACTGTCAGAAACTTTGTCCACTCGAGGCACAGCCTTGATCAGAAGCTCTCGGTGGCTTCCCTCTGCTTTCAGAGTGAGGTCAGAGCCACAACCAGCTTTCCCCACCCATCATGTAGAAGAAATCTGGATTCAGGAACTTCCTGAATAACAACACAGACTTACAACACAGAGCTGCTGGGCTGATATGAGGAGCCTGGGGTTTCCGGACAACCCTGGTGTGTGGATCAAACACAGAACACAAGGGAGTCTGGGAAAACCCCCACTTGGAGGTTCTTCCAGAGGCTAAGACAAATACTAACAGGCACAGCTCTGTCCTCAGTACGGAGGTTTTCCCAGATTGTGGCTCCCGTCTTGCCCATTCCAGATGGATGATTCTGACTCAATCTGAGTTCAGTTACTGTATTCCCCTGGTTAACGTAAAGATATACTAACTAGTAACTGGAGATTGACTTCTAAGGGATAACAAACACAGTGTGTGCACACTAGATGGCAGGAAATGTTTGCTGGGTGCCACTAGCCAAAGTTGACAAACTATAGAGGGTTCTGGACTGAGCTACTCGGATTAGGGGAAGGCTTGATGCAGGGCATCTGCCCTGTATGACGCTGAGATTGTGTCCCCTAGACCAGTGGTCGGCAAACCGCGGCTTGTGAGCCACATTTGGCTCTTTGGCCCCTTGAGTGTGGCTCTTCCACAAAATACCGACTTCTGCACATGGGCCACGAAGTTTCAATCGCACCGTACATGCGCGCCCGCATGTGGTATTTTGTGGAAGAGCCATACTCAAGGGGCCAAAGAGCCGCATGTGGCTCGTGAGTCGCAGTTTGCCGACCATGGCCCTAGACAAACACAGGCACAGGCTCTGCCTTCATGTGGGTGTCCATCCCTCACCCCGTGGTACCAAATGGGCAGCCCAATATACTAAAGAATAACACGAAGTTTTCAACATTCAAACTCTTGAGCTTTTATTACACAGATATGTGTGCCCTCTGTCAGCATCTGGGGATGTAGAATTCAGTGACTCGGGGTCCCTGCCCTTAGGGAGCTCACAGCCCCGTCTCCTGAGAGCAGAGTGAAGGAGCTCAGTACTTGGCAGGCAGGCCAGGAGGTCTGTAGCGATTGGGGTCTTTGCCACTCCGGCCCATCTGTTGGCTTCCTGGTCAGCCCTTCGGTCCGCCGATCCATGGCCGCTGTCTCCATGCTTAACAAAGTCAGTGAGTCTCGGATAAGTCTCTCTGGCATCACTGGAATGGAGGAGGGCAGGTAGGAGGTGAATCAGGGGCTGAGGATAAGCAGCCCCACCCTCCCAAGTCTCCCCTTTCCAAGGGATTAATGACTCTGGGAGGAGCCTGGAATGGGGCTAAGCACTGACCCTGCCTGGGCACAGCCCACTCAGCCCTGATGTGATCCCACTGGATGAACAGCACCTAGAGGGGAGAGTGGGAATCAGTCCTTGGTCCTGTTTCTCATTTTGGGGGACAGGCCCACAAGCCATTCTCTGGCTCTGTTGACAGCCCAGACTCTGCACTGGGCAGGGATGGAGAAGGTGGAAGGAAGAACATGAGGAGGAGCCCACAGACCCAACAGGGTCCTTCTCTAGGGCCACCTGAGCACTTCAGCAGCCCAGGCTCCACCAGGTCCCCTTCGTGCCGCATCATAGTTCCCCCGGGCGTGGAAGTATTTGTCTGAGTTTTTGTAATTGGCTTCTCTCATGTCAGAGTAGGCTCTCCACATGTCTTTGGCTCCTGGAAAGGAAAATGTGAGATGAAGGTAATCACATCTTGGCATAATAGAGGAATAAAACATTTCCTTCTACTGATTGTATGATTTCAGCGTTCGACTAAACCCTTGGAGATTATACTGGTTTGAGATAAATATTTTTTTTTTCTTTTTAGTTTCTGGGTTAATGTTATTAGAATCACACTTGGTACAGGTTTTATTCTGTTTGACCCCATTCTAATATCTCCTGCCACTTTGTGTTGGCTGTGTGATGCGTGCAAGGAGAGGTGGGGTGGTCCTGAAGCGATGTTTAGTTGTACAAGAAACCCCCACCTGGACAGATGCAGGGAACCCCCTGACACGTGTGAGAACAAAGGTGATTCTGAGGGAGGTTCAGAAGCACAGTGCTCTCAACCTAGTCAATGGGAGACCCTCATCCCCATGGACAAAAGGAGGACAACTCGTCCTGAGCACATCTGAACATCTGGGCACATTTGGCACCTCGGCAACTGTCAGAGTTCAATCCAGGCACTAAAAGTGCTGTGTTCCTTATGAGAGTTTTAAAAAATGGGGATAATAGGTATAGAACAAGGGCAACTGACCCACCAGCTCTAAGGACAGTGATCTCCCAATAAAATGGGCAACTACTGCCTCTCCCAGAAGAACTGAGAAAATTCTGTATAATGTTGAAGACATTGTAGGTGTTTAATATACCATCACTTCTCTAGTCTGTAGGAAGGGGGAACAAAAAAATAAAGGAACTAAACTGAGATGAAGGTCAGAGAATTATGGATGGAAGGAATCTGATCAAGCTAGAATAAAAAGGCAACGATTTTTAAAAATTAGCTGAATAGAAAAAGCTTGAAATGTAATGTACAATTGAATTTATAGCTTATATAATACCTCCAGGAGGTAAGTTATCTTCATTTTATGCATTTCTTTCTTTTTGGTGTTCAGAAAGATAGCTTTATTGAGAGGTGCAACATTTTTACTCGGAGTTACTCATTTAAACACATTCTTGGAGTCCAGACTTGCATAATAAGTATTTCAAAAGTGCCCAACACATTTTGTCACTCGCGGGCAGCAAACCTGGAGGGGTTTGTGCTCAGCCTTTAGTGTGCACAGCATCAGCTGGGGTGCTCAGAAAAGGCTGGATTTCAGACTCTGCCCAGGAATTGGAATTTACCGAGGGGTGTGTGCACCCAGGTGTCTGCATTTCACAAAGCACCCCAGAACACAATGATTCTCATGCCGGCTGTCCTAACATTGTCAACAGGGACAATCACAGAAAAATAACAGCAGAATAATTCTGTGAAATAAACACCTTCTTGCGACTTTACCATGGGTGTATAGCTCTTGCTATAGTTTTCTGGCCAGATCTCAGCCCCAGCAGAACCACCATCAGGGAATTAATTGTGCGGAGAGCAGCTCTACAGAGTTGCCTTCCAAATGCACCCCATCCCCACTATTTGCCATTTGCTCAGATAAAGAACAGAATATGTGTTCACAAATCCCTCACTCTTCCATGTGCAGTCTTGTCCGGGAGGCAGTCTGCTGCGTTAATAGCAAGGTCTGTGGAGCTCGACGACCTGGGCTAAGTCCTGCTCTGCCTTGGGACCATGTTAGGTATCTTATTCTCTTGGTACTTCTGTTTCTCTATTGAGTGGTGATGGTACCTACATTGCAGGATAAGGATTAATTCCTGAGGATGAAAACGTGTCCATTCATTCATGGAAATCTCTTATAGCAGTGCCTAGCAGGTTAGAAGCTCAGCTAACCTTGGTTGTAATTACTAAGTGAGTGGGGTGTGGGAACACACTCTATAAGTTTGGCTCACCAGCTTCATGGCTACCTGAGATATAGAAATGAGCTGTTTCTGAGTTCCCACTAGGGGGCCATAGAGCCCCATTTGTATTTAGGGAGCATGACCCCTGAGTCTAGATCTCTTCCATACTTGTGATGAAAGTTGGGGTTTATACTTTATGAGGACTCAGACCTGGGGTCCCCATAGAAGGATGCGAAGTTATCCAGAAAAGCCTGGAGTTGGGGGCAAAGGACAGATGTTCTTTAAGGATACAAACTTATGTGCAACTAGAATAAGCCCTAGAGATCTAATGCACAGTATAGTAAATATAGACAACAATATTGCATGATAATCATAAAACTTGCTAAGAGACTAGATCTTAACTATTCCAACTATTAAGATGGAAGGATAATTATGTAATGTGATTGAGGTGCTAATTATCTCTACAAAGGCAATCATATTACAATATATAAATGCATCAAGAACATGTTATACACCTTAAATCTATATAATGGTATATATCAAATATATTTCAATTTAAATTAAAGTCTGGGGAAGTCCTATTATGAAAATAGTAATTCTTTCCTACCCACTGTGGCCTTTTCCCAGTGGGGACGTGGCCTTTGCTCATGTAAGTCTTGGGGAAGCCAGATACAGCCCCTACAGCCTCTGGCTCTTACCTTGACCAGCTTCCTTAAGGAAACTTAACCATCCCTGGCTGTTGATGCCCAGGACGAGGGAGCAGAAAATGATGATCATGGAAAGCTTCATCCTGCTGCACAGTGAAGGGGACATACCAGGAAGAATACGTTTAATTTTTTTTTCCAGGGGATAATGTTGACCCATTCTTGTATTCCATAAGTAAACCCAACACAATTATATATATAAATATATGTCGAGAACATATATATATGTGTGTATATATATGTATGTGTAGATAGCTGATATACGTAATTAGACAGACAGACAGGATTCCAGAGGACCTAGTTCTCCATTTGTATGTGTCTCACTGGAATCCCAGTGATTTCTTGTATGAGAGCCTGCAATGGGCTTTTGTATAAACCAATTTCCACTTCAGTCATCCCCTGTCAGCCCTAAAATCCAACAGTTCAGACCTTCCCCAAAAGACATTTGCAAATTTGTGTCCGATATACCTTTCTGTCACGTAAATGAGTTAAATCTATAAATATCCGTAGGATGCCTGCTCTACCCATCACTACTTCACACAGAAGACGCATACGACAAATCTCTATCCCAAAAGTATTCCCATCTGGTGAAATCTAATCGTCAGAACAGTAGATTCAGGAGAGATGCAGAGAGCTGTGGTGCAGCACAAGAAAGCTGGTGGAAAAAGAACCCCCAAAGAGGAAAAGTGCTGGAAAGTTCTAGCACCTCACCTTGGCTGCTCGGTCCTGCTGACACCCCTGTTGAAGCTGAGCTGCCTGTGCCGCCTCCTGGGAGCTGTGCCTGGTACTATATATACTGACGCTTTGCTAGTGGGACAAATGGCAAGAGAGGTTTGAAGCAAAACATTGAAATGTGGGAACTTCCTCTTGGTCAGAACCCAGCATCCAGGACACGATGGTTATTTTCACACACATCTCAGTTTCCCAGATTGTGCAACCTGGCAGCTTTCAAGGATGTAGCAAATTTTCTGCCCATTTTCAGTCTCACACCTTGTGGGGAAGGTTTATTTTCCCTAATGTACTGACATTTGCTGTGAAGAGTAATCAATATTAAAAAGATTTGATTGAACAGTGTGAGACTGCAGAGCAAGCGAAACAGCAGAATGGGCTCCATTGCAAAAAGACAGCTCAGGATGAAGCTGGGACCCTAGGGTGCAGAAGGAGGGAAGGAAGGACAGACAACCCCCAAAAATAAAACTTCCAGCACCCCCGTAGGGTGGACTCTGCTCTGGAAAAGGGGGTCCTCCAGACTCAAGTATGCTCACCATTGATTGCTATGGAAGGTCACAATGGCAGGTTATATATGGAGTTTACTGTAACCCAGGAATGTTGAACTGTAGTGTAAAAACTTGCCCAGCCGGCAGGGCTCAGTGGTTGACCCTATGAACCAGTAGGTCACGGTTTGATTCCTGGTCAGGGCACATGCCCAGGTTGTGAGCTTGATCCCTGATGTGAAGCATGCAGGAGGCAGCCGATCAATGATTCTCTCCCATCATTGATGTTTCTATCTTACCCTCCCTCTCTCTTCCTCTCTGAAATTAATATATATCTACATATTTATATATATAGCTATACTAATAAAAGCGTAATATGCCAGTTAGACCGGACAGCTGAATGACATTCCAGATGTCCAGACGTCCTTCCAGACAAAGCCGTGGTGTTGGGGTGAGGCAGAGGCAGTTAGGGGCAATCAGGCAGGCAGAGTGGTTAGGGGCGATCAGGCAGGCAGGGGAGCAGTTAAGGCAATCAGGCCAGCAGGGGAGCAGTTAGGAGTGATCAGGCCAGCAGGCAGAGGGGTTAGGGGTGATCAGGCAGGCAGGCAGAGTGGTTAGGGGCAATCAGGCAGGCAGGCAGGCGAGCAATCAGGAGCCAGCAGTCCTGGATTGTGAGAGGGTTGTTCAACTGCCAACTTAGAAACTAGCAGTCAGACATCCCCTGAGGGGTCCTGGATTGGAGAGGGTGCAGGCTGGGCTGAGGGACCCCCTACTCCCATGCACAAATTTCATGCACCAGGCCTCTAGTTTGTAAACTATATATATATGGAACTTGCTATAATGTAGTGTAGGAGTGACACACAGGGACATAGTGACATTCTCTGAAGTCTGTTTTATTGTTATAAAAAACTGCCTTGTTGGGAATAATTTTAGCAAATACAGTTTTTATTACCCTTTGTGCTATTCTTGTAGCAGCAAGAGCAGAGTGAACATTTTCTCCTTTTTATCGTGAAGAAAGTGATTTTACCAGACATTAGTCAGGCTTATAGTTTTCAAGGCCCAGTTCTGGAACGCACAGTTAACCCTCAAAGATATGTAGGCCTGAGAGGAAACAGAATCTACGGAAAAGGAAGGGTTGGATAAGATTATGAACCGAAGGGCCATGGCCATGGAAATTAGTGACATCCTTTTTCTTTGATCTTCCATTATACATTTTTATATGTGACCCTGACCCATTTATCAAATTTTATTTTGTTGTCATCTTTATTAATGTGGATGTATTGTTTATGTATATGTATGTGTTTGCACCTTTAGTGTTGTTCTGGTTTTTGTGTGTGTGAGGAGAGGAGCAGAGGCACACACATGTGACTGTATTATGAATGGGCATGTGCTGTTTTTCTATATCTCAACATTGGAATAACAGTCAGGATAGGACCTGGGTTGTTATTTTTTCACCATTCATTAGTGCCTAGGAAGATGCCTAGAACATAGTCAGGCTCAATGAATGAACAGGTTCTTAGCTCAAGGCTCAGGTTTCCTAAAAAATGTAAAGTAAGTATAAATAAAATTTCACCTCCTAGAGGGGCAGGCGGTGGGGAGGACCTCTGCAGACCCTTCCTGTTTGGCCTCCAATCTATTTTCTAAGTGTGTGTACATGTACGAATACGTGAAGACGGAGGATATAATACCTGCCATTTTACATTCTGCTTTTCCACTTCACTTCTCGTGATCATTTGTCCAGGTTACCACCCACACTGCCACAAAGTCAGCGGCAGACCTGAGATTCCAACCTGGCCTGTTAGGAGTGAGCGTGAGACTCCTTAGCCATCTGCTGTACAACTGCCACCCGACCTCGGCAGCAGTAGAGCACGTGAGCAAGTACGTGTCCATTGTGATTCACTTCGATTATGTTCAACGCTGAAGCTTCATGAGAACTCTCCCAGTGGAGAGTTACCTGCCTGAGAGCACTGATCCTGTCTGACTCCAGGCTGTATTTCCAGGACCTCGCACCGTTCCTCCCACATACTGGGAGTTCAGTAAGTAGGTGTCGAATAAGGGAATGGATGCATGAACACGTTTTGCAAGCATCGTTATCAGAAAGGAAAAGAGGCTGAGGTTTGAAAAGGCCCTGTGTTAGACTATTTGGACAGTAAAGGAGGTCGGCAATGGGTTGTGGCTCCCTCCCAGGCCGACAGATCGTTCAGGAAAAAGGCTTGCTGGCCCAGCCTGCAGGTCAATGTGACAATTCTTTCAGCAAAGGAACACGTGGGTCATTGACGGGAGGATTTGCAAACATGTTTTAGACGGCGTGGTTTGACAGGAGTCCATAAAAAATGAGTTTGTGTGTACACCAAGCATACTCTTCACAAAGAGGACCTGGATTTCACCCCATAATTACAAGTGAAATCTGGGAAATCAGAGTATTGTGAAAGGGCTCCTTTTGCACCCATGTTTAAGAAGCAGGCTGTTTGTGGTGCGTCTTTCCTGTGGCCTATGGCTGAGGACAAAGAAACTTCAAGTACTACATCCTAGAGAGAACATCCAAGAAACAGGGCCAGATCTCTTGAGCCAATGCTAACAAAGAGGTGGCCATTCAGGCCTTCATACCAACCACTTCCCAGAACAAAGTCTGAGGACACTTAGAGTTTGGAGGAGATGAGGTAGACCCAGCTAAGAAGATGAGAAGGGAAGTAACCCTGGCCTGTGTTTCTCAGTGGTTAGAGATTCAGCCCAGGCACCTGAGTCTCAGATTTGATTCCTGGTCAAGGGCATGTATCCAGGTTGCACATTCGATCCTGGCCCCGGTCAGGGAGGCAACCAATAGATGTGTCTCTCTCACATTGATGTCTCTCTTTCTATCTCTCTGAACCCCCTTCTTTCACTCTCTCTAAAAATCCATATCTTTGGGACTGGCCAGTGTGGCTCAGTGGTTGAGTGTTGACCCATGAACTAGGAGGTCAGGGTTCAATTCCCGGTCAGGGCATAGGCCTGGGTTTGGGGCCTGATACCAGTAGGGGGCATACAGAAGGCAGCCAATTAATGATTCTCAATATCGATGTTTCTCTCTCTTTAAAAATCAATAAAAACATATCCTCAGGTGAGGATTGTATTT